TGAACCTTCGATAGGTATTTAAGCAAAAGTTATAACAATCGATTATCGATAAAACGTTTCATAATATAATAATATCATCACGCATCCCTAGTCAGTTCGTGATGGCGATTCTGACAATACGTACTTAGGTCAAATAAAATCTTTAAAAATATCCAATCTCTTATTAGACTTATACAACACATGGCGGTATAATGATAAATCATAGAAAAAATATTTAGTAAGTTTACTGTTAGTCAATTTTTTAAACGCTTCAGTTTTAGGTAAATATGTTTCTGCCATTGTTCTTTATGCAACTACCCGCCTATATTCATAAAGATTAATAAAATTAACTTCTAACTGTTGATTGCGTGTTTTAACCAATATTAAGGTAAATTCAACTCAGTCTACGCTTTACGACTACCAAAAATAGCGATATGCTAAATATAATATATATATATATATATAATCTTATTTAATTTATTGAAAAAGGTAATATTTTTTGCTATTGTAATCACTATATCAAAAGAAATCAATATCTATTCCAACTCAGTGATATATTCTGAAACTGTAACTAATGGCATATTTGATACTTAGGCAAGGATATCCAATTATAAATCCTATCCTATAGACGTCAAATAGTATAAATAAAATGATATCTTTCTTATTTCTTTAACTTTTAAAGGTTGTGACGTCAACGAATGGCTTAAATATGGAAAGTTTATTATGACCACATCGTGATTGTATAGTGTTTGTTGTTGGACAAAGTAAGACTGTCTTTCATGAGGCTTGCGTGTACTTATACATGATAATGTAAGAACTTTATCATTGAAATTGTAAACATTCCATTGCTTGTGAATCTTGTTTTATTTACCTTTCCACTTTAAAAAACGGGTGATGGTCGCTAAAGGAATATACAAGTACTTTACAATAAGAAATAAATACCTCTTTCGCCTAACAGAACCGATTATTATTGACACGATTAGTAAAACAGGAATACCTTTGCATGAGATACCAATTTATAACATTTTTATAGAGTTGCAATATTCTACCATACATTATGCTTATATACGGTAGGCATTTGTAAAGGGATTATTAGGGCAGTAACTTTAAAACTTAAGAATATAAGTTTAAGTACCAGTCTGTTGCCTCACTGTTTTCTTCTAGCACATTACATTTTACGAACTGACAGCTAAGCCCATCCTGGGCATATTTTGTAAATCCAGATACATTATCATTGATGGTGATTTTCATTGAGTGCGTATTTTAAATCTTTTTTATGATATACGAGCGGAAACAAGTGACCCGCACTTGTTTTCTGTGAGGTCGTAACTTCATATTCGATCCTTCATATGTCGAAGCATATCTCTGCCAAGGTAAAAATAATATTGGCTATTATTTTTCATGTAGGAAATACATGAGACAATACAAAAATATTTCAAAAAGAAAACCTATACATAGACTATCGGATGTAAAGAAAACTGCATGAAACACAAATTACTAGTTTATTTCTATATAACAAAAATACTTATAATACATTCACACACTTAATTCCTTATTATAATGTTGTCAAAGTTGATCATTTACATTTTTAAGTACTATCTTAATCGAATGGCACAAATTATAGATTGATCATTGATTCAATCTAAAGATTGGGTCCCATGTAGACACACCTTCAAATTGGTACCGTATCACTCGCATCACATTAGCCGATGAGCACACCATCACCGATCTTATCGTGCACTAGTAAGGCCCTACTTTTATCAAGTACTCATTATAAATATATTTAGACCATGTCTATTACTGTGGCTTTTATTTCAAACTATCATAATTAACGATACATTTCACATTTTTAATGTAGAGGTATCTGTAGTAGATACGTTTTTCTAGTACAATATTGTCATGCTCTTCCTATTCTAGTGTGCTTTATAAAAATTACATTTTATAAATCGTACTTCAAATGATGTTCTTGTACCTATATTTATTTATGTCAAACTTTATGCACTTGTATACATCGGCGAACTTGATGCCCAAGGCATTCTCTTTCAGTCAACCTTTGGGTGGTGTAGAAATCATATAAGATAGGTGCACAGAGGTTGCATATTATGACATGTAATTAATGAATATATAGATACACGGTTCACTACATACATAAACGTATACATACACATATACGACACATCACATCATAAATATAAATATATTTATAAATATACATATTATATTCGTATACTATGTATACCGGAATAAAAGGTGTACTATGAATTGGATAGTTCCGCCATTTTATTAAGGAGATCATGAATCTTTTTGAATACAAAACGGTTAGTGGACATCCTGATTTCGAGCGGAAGTGCATTCCAGAGTAGTACTGCTTGAACAAAGAACGAAGAGTGCACGAAGTCGGAGTTGTGGGAGGGACATAAGAGAAGCAGATTATTTTCTGAGCGAGGATTTCTGTCGTAATTGAAGGACAGGTAACGGAGATTGGGGGCGAGGTAAGTTTAAAAGTGAGAATAGAGAGGTAGGTGCACGCTGGTTGCGATATCACAAATTAAAAACCTAATGTAGGGATGCCGGATCTAAATCGATCTTTCAGAAGATCGATTCAAAGCAAAAAATCGGACATCCTTAACCTATTGCGTTTAATATGTTAGATTACATTCTTTCATGTAGAGCCTAATGACAGTGTTGTGCAGAAATGATGGTAGCCCCGAATGGGCAAACATTAAAGTACTGATGCTCAACTATCAAAAAATATCTGAATTTATAATCATTTTAGCAATTTTTTATTATAATGATTACGAATCCCTTTACCATCACAACTACGTAATGTTTATTGATTAAATGGGTATTGCACAACACGATTAATTTAATAAATACTATTTCCGATCTCCCTCAGTATCAATATTATTTAAAAAACCCACTGGTCACTGATACTAAAAAATATCATTCATATTATTTTTACCATTAATGACAAACTTATTATCGTCTCAAAGTGAGCTAGTAAAGGGAGTGCCACACTACGACTACTAAATACACATTCAAATTACTAAAACTAATAATACGTTAGTTCAGTACCGAAGACGAAAAATCTAATTCTCTAATACACATCTAATTACCTATGCCGCCTTAATAATAATAAATAAAGCTATTAATTCTTTTGACAACCCTAAACTTATTAATTATTACACTAAGCAAGAACAGTTAAACCGAAGCTGACTAAACCACCCGTGTCCTACCACAGAAATGTCTTAATGATACCAAAACTTATAACTATAAAAAGGGAAAAATGTTCGTTTCATTCTACAAATTTTAAAAAATCTACTTGAAAGTTTCTGAATTTGTCCTTAAAATATACGTGTAATATCACGCCGTGACCGCGTGGTACGACTGATCGAACGACGCAGACTTTTTCCTGTTGATTCGATGTAAAAAGAGGACTATACTTATCAGATGACTTGGACTGTCATTTTCTCTGAGACCGTGTGGTCCGACCTATCGGACGACACGTAATTTTTTCCCGTTGTTTCGAGTGATCGGACAACGGTTTATCGTTGTAGATTTTTCTTTTTAGAAGTCGGTTTTAACTTAAAAATAATTGTAAACTACACCCCAGTAATGTAGTACAGTGGTGTCGTTTACAGTACACGGAAAATTGTATCCCTTTCAGTGGATTTTTATTTTAGGGAATAAAAGAAGTCACACGATTTCAAATCAGAATTGTAAGGTGACTCAAGGGTGGCCAGTGTGGTCTCCAGGAAGTCCCTTATTTTGAGCGCTGAGTACGCGGGCGCGTTGTCGTGGTGAAGCCCGCGGAGCCCGGTATTTGGTCGCTTGCTGCTCATTGCACTGAAAACTTCATTCGAGTATTTCGTAGTACACCATTCGGCGTTAATACTGCTTTAATTTGGTAACGGAATTGATACCAGATACCTTGTCAAAGTAGTGATCAAAATTTTACCTGCTCTTGGCGGCGTTGGCTCCTTTTGAAACAACCAAACTGTTGACTGACATTTTTGTTTTTTAATATCTCGATCTATGAAACAATCTCTGGATTATGAAAGCGGGTATACTCTTTGTAGTCCTATGAAAGGCACCAATACGAAAAAAGTCCGCGACTTCCAATCAGTCAAACCAAGAGAAAAAAGTTCGAGTCGTCCGATCAGTCGGACGAAGTAGTCTGGACGAGGTCATGGCCCAATATCAGTAGATTACTGAAACTAGCAAAATACTCAATAGGTACCTACTATTTTGAATTGTAATTCTATGGCAATACCTTATTTAAAAAACAATAATCTCTAGTTTATACTCGTATTACACTCGTATTAATATTACACAAATCAATATTTTGTTTATCCTTTCTTTTACAAAGGGTAATCAAAATATGTCCCCACTCATATTACATGTTTCCATTCTTACAAGGTTTCAAATGTGTAAAATTGAATAGAAATAATTAAATTCGTAAGTCACAGATTTAGGTTCAAATACGAGTACTATCGTAACTTACAATTGTTTTCCCATTGGCCAATGTGTGGTAGGATCATTTACAAACTCTTCGGTTTATTCTTATAAACACTACAAAGTTGAGTATTTATACTTATTTACACAATCACACTAACTCAAATAAATATCTTTGTATTTAAGTCTGACAAAATTTTCACTTTTCAATATTTTGCCGGTGTTTCACACCTTGTAGGAGTAGCAAGTAATCATTTCTATAGCACAGTTATTGTATTTTTGGACTTATTTTAAAACGTCATATCGCTAGCGCAGTTGTGAAACGTCTAATAGCTCAACTGTGCTTAATACTGTAGTTTAGCACAGTTTAGTTCAAATCATCAATCAATAAAATCATAATAATATGATACCTTCATAAACAATATGATAGAAGTTTTTTCTATGTAAAAACAAATAGGAATATTTGAAGTGAATACCTTTCTGTCAAACTTTACAAATCCAAAAACACAAACGTCATACATAACAACTAAAGAAACCAAAGTACCTATAACTAAAATCTGCACAACTTACAGTTTGGTAACATCAGCCTCACAATCTATTTCTTTACTCTTAGTGTTCTTGCCTCCGATCTCCGCGTAGATTTCATCCAGGGTCTTCATTTTCGTCTCTGGCACGACAAGCGCTATGTACACGGTACTGACCAGGCACACAGCGGCAAACAGCCAGAAAATTAAGTACAGTCCTACTGAGGCTGCGATCGGTTGAAACACTCGAAGCTGGATAGAGACTAGAGCGCAAGCGGTTGCAATCACTATCGCTGTCACTGTGCCACGGACCTGGAATATTGCACTGATCTTTTAGATATGGCTGTAACCAAAGAGTCTGCCCATCACTTTTAAGTTTTTTTTACATATCATGATCTACGGGTACTTATTCGAAACTAGCAATTATAAAAGTAGAAAGTGAAGTAACAATAAGACTACTTTTCTTCGAGTCGAGCCTTCGAAACTTGATCATTTCTATTCATCTTTAATATAATTTCGCCCCCTGATACATAAACATCATTAATTGATCTATACTTACTTATTTGCTTATTTCGTATTACATTCCTTTGATGCATATTCACTTAATGATACATACACCAAATTATTCAAATTTACCCTTTCATCATTTTTTACTGAACGCAATACCCATCCAACTTTTTGAATTTTTTCCTCTTGATCCTTTTAAAAAGCATTCATCTTTGGATCTATTTTTAGTTTCACTTTATTACTTACAACCTCTTTACACCTCTAATCAATCATCATCATGATTACCTTAGCCTCTAATCAATATTAAATTATTATCCATTGAATGATATTTACCTCTTAAATCATGTAATAATGTAAACTCTGACCGAATATGCCTAAATACCTATTTAATATTTGAATTACACTAAGCTTAGGCATGTCTTTATTAAGAAATTTTGTTTTCCTTACCTACCTGGGTATCCCTTTTAAATCATTACATACTGTGATATTAAGTAAGACCCAAAATAAATAAATAAATACACAAACGTTTACCTGGAAGGTGAACATCTCGGACATTATAACGAAGGGTACGGGCTGAAGTCCAGCCGCGTCACAATATATGCAGAGGCACAGCGCTACGATGGGAATCCAGGAGGAACCAGTCGAGCCGTCCGAGTGGGCGTAGAACCACGAACCCAAAGCTGTCATCGCGATACCAGAGACCAGGCAAGTCATACCGAGGAGAGGCTGGAAATCGTTTCACTAATTATGACGTATCACGAAGACTACTTTTTTCAGTAAACCATGAAGAGTTAGTTATACCTATAAGATATCAACGGGACAAGGACAATAAACTCTGGCCTTTTTAACACACCTACTTAACAAATCAGTCAGTTAACAGGTTACAAAAATAATTGTCTTCCACGATAATAAATACCAATATTTAATACTTATAAAAAGTACCCGACTGTTCAGTTGACTACTTGCTGTATTAAAGGTAGTCGCTTTTGGTATAAGGTGGCAAGACGCCAAAACCCGAATGGGATGATCGAACTCCCTCAAGGTAAATTTTGATTTTCAAGTGGCCTTTAATCTGTTACATACCTATTACAATATCCACATAAGTAACGATGTTATTATAGTGATGGTTTGAAATTAACACAAAATACTATATGACGTTTAAATCTTAATGTTAAAGAAGTCCAATTACGGCTATTATTAGTAATACATCTTACTCTTAAGTCACAATTTTGATAATAATTGCGCTACACTCTGTTATAGGGCCGCTGTTGTCCACCATAAAAATAAAGAACGTAAATTGAGTAGTCGGCTAACCGCGGTGTGTATTACTTCAAATGTCTGCGCATTAAAAAAAGGTTTTGCTTACCTTTCTACCGGTTCTTTCCACTAATCCACTTGCAGTAAAAGAGCCCACTATTTGTACCATGCCCAATACAGCCGCTTGCTGATTGGCCGTCAACACCCAACCACCCGCGCTTGCTTTACTGAAGATGAGCGAAGCGAAGTGGAGCACAGCTAGGCACCCACACAACTCCCGAGCAATAATGATGATCAGAGTGATCCGGAAGGCACGACAGGTGTTCTGGTCCGTAACTATAATTGAAAATGTTTGAGTTACATTTTTATAATCTTAAACTTACTCATCCTTAAGTGTTGGTGCACCAACATCAGCTCTACTAACTGCAAACCTGCCGCAAAAGAACACCCATCGTTTTGAGTTTCTTCATTCATATGAAATAAAAAAGTCTCAATATCTTGGAAAAGAAAGACATGTAGTAGATTCTTTGTGTAAATGGAAATGAAAGGTGACAAAATAGTTATGATTTTTATTAAAAACAATCTAATTAGTTTAATAATTAAATACATCCTAAGGATTCACCGTGTGTGTACTTGTTTGCCACCGGAATTACTTAACGAGCTAGCCCACCGCCGTTTTAAATTGTCAACACTCATGTCCTAGACAAGCCAATCATTGTATGAAATAATGAGTAAAAGAAAGAATAAAAATCCATATGTCGTTACCCACGTAAACGTGCCATATTTTCAAATATTTAGTGTCCACAACCAATAATGATGTCCGGAAGCGTCTGGTAACACATTAGGTGGCCACACCGCCCACGCGCGTGGGAATGTACATAAAGCTCGTTACACTAACTTATTGCGGCGGTTGCACTTGTTAACTAACCAGAGAAACGGGTTTTAGTTATTTTCGTCTTGGCGCGTCATTTATGCACCCACTAACTAGCAAAGCTCACATAATGACCGAGCTTTAACTTTAAGCTAACAATTTGTTTTATTTAAGTGTTATGTTCGAGCAGTTTCATCAGTTTTATACAAGCTTTAAAATTATATTCCACCGTTTATATGTATGAATGTAATAAATCTTGAATATCAGTTTTATTTTTTTTCTAAAATTCAATAAAACCTTTAGATAGTGATATTCTATTTATGCAGGATTAGCTTTTGTCCTCGGCTTCGCTCGCATAAAAGTGTTTAAGCGCCTTTCTAATTTCATAACAACTGGATGAACAAAGAAACAAACATTGTTTTTTTTAAATATTAAGTATCTTGATTTAATAAAATCATGCAAAATTGCGTAAAAATTTAAAATATCGGTAAAGAACTTTCTGAGTTTCGGGATTATTAAGAAACGAACGTTATATTTATACATATATGTATGTATATACTCGTATATAGATGCCTGACGGTACAGCGCTTGATACTGATGCGACATCTCTCTTCACTCTTCGATGAAGATCCCACGACGTGTTCACCAGATGAGCATCTCCGAAAGCCGGCTATAAACCGGCTCGACCGGAGTGACATCACGGCCTCCCAGAAAACCAATGTTAAGCAGTTTGATGGTTGCTTTTTACCAAGCGAATGAGGTTACCGGTAACCAAAACCTCCTTTTCCTGGAGGAGAGGGAGTAGGTTAAGGGGTGGCAACACAATTGTGCCTCTTGACTTATAGGTGTCAATGGATCCACTGTACAGGTGGTCACACTGTCATGGTTACAGTCGCTTACTCGTTCGTCTTCTATGAGGTAAAAAAAAGCTATGTACTATCATAGAAACTGGAAGTACGTAATATATGATGGTTGATAAAACCAACATTAATATGTTCCTAAATGATAGTCTATTTAATGTACGGTTTATTTGTATTTATTAATGCTCTATCCTAATGTGATATCCCATATAACATACTTAGCATCACTAATAGGTTTAAAAGTGTTAGCAATTTGCATATCATAAGTGTATTAAATCATACTCCGTTTTGGCGACGGATTAAGAATACAGAGCGCCACCACCCCTATTCATCCCGTGGGCGTCGTAAGAGCCGACTAAGGGAGCAATCGACGCAGGACAACAGCTCTGCAAAGACAAGGAAAGCTTGACGCCAACTCTATACCAACCCGTCTGGCCAGTGTCGTATAGTAGGTCAAAACCTTCTTTCTAAAGAGATGCCTTTGCCCACCAGTAGACTATAAAAGGCTGTTGATGATAATGAAGAATGATGATATCATAAGAACAGTACAAAAAATCAGACGAATCGAGAATCTTCGTTTCGCGGAAGTCGATTAAAAAGCCATCGCCAGCAATGAAAGATGATCCTTTTATCGCTGGGACCTATAAACATAATAATATAATTTACGAACATAAAGTACTCGTACAATTAGAATAATCATCTGTATATTACACGTGTAATTGTCCTAAGTAAAGAGAAAAACACATCTTTAACACGATGACGGCAAAGAAATATAGTGCTGTTAACGTTAAAATCTCGCCTAGTTCCTGTTTCGATCCTAACCCAAAAAGCCATATTATATGTAACGCAAACACAGACATGTGTACAGCATTAGTGTGGACAAACAGCGCCTGGGATTATTTGGTCTTCGTCCCGTTACCGGTTGAGTTTACTTATTGTTACCGTTCGTTAAGTAGACAAACGCGTGTTACTATGCTATAATATTATTATTGTTTTTCAAATAATAGATTTGTTTAATTTGTAGTCCGAGCCGTAATAAGTAAAAACCTTGTTTCATTAATATGTCTACTGTCTCTTCCGACAGTATACACTTTATCGGTCAATATTCGTGTGTAACTTATTACTCGTAATTTCAATAGATGATTTTAATAAAAATAAATCGAGGATTTTCTTAATACTCACGGGTAATAGTGTCCCCATATGATATTATTACAAATTGATATATTAAGACGGTCACGTAGATATTACACATCTATGAATTGACTGATTTTCGACCAGGTTTCACAGGCTGAGACAAATTTATATTAATGAAGAAAAATTACTTGTAACGCTAGCGATATCTCAGACAAAAGCTACGAGTTATAATAATTTATAAAATAGATCTGTTTATATCAAGACGAAAGATCAAAAAGTCAATGTTAGTATGATTAAATCACGTCCATAGATTTTATTGCGATTACCCCAAGTTTAATACTAGCATAGATCTTACATGTGTCGCATCTGATGTAAATAGTAAATGTCGTTGTATTGATTTCTGGAACAAGACGTCTTATTGTTCAATATAGGTATATGGGTGACAAGGAACTCTATGTCAAGGAGCTGTTTATGATAATATAGCAATAATTTAGTTTAAATAAAATAGATATTTTCATTTTACTATGTCCATGAGAACAGATAGTAATAAGGGCTTCGATGACTGCAAGTTTTTTTATTTTTCTCTTGTCATTCAGTGAGTATGTGTCGTATTTAAATTAATAATTTGCTGATTCGTTATTGTGAGTGGTTAAGACGGTTCAGATGATGGTAATAATAGGGGGCTCGTAGAGACTACGTGGTAACAAGTTAAACAATCCTAGCCAACTCAGTCTATGATTGGTGACCATTCTTAACACATTGAGACCCTCCGTGCCTCGGAGAGCAAGCTAAGCCGTCGGTCCCGGTTGCCATACGAACATCTGTGACAATCGTTACGGGTAGTTGGAGGCCCCACAAAGTCCGATAAAAGTCTTTCTACAGAATTTCGATATCGCCTAGTACTTGGGTATGGAGATCTGATGGCAGTCGCTCTGCAGCCGACCTCAACCGAACTTGGAAAAAAGGCTCGGAGGTAGGAAGACGACGGTAATACTCGTATTTAAAATGCAACTGAGTTATGTATAAAAGTAGACCAATTGGCACTCTTCTATTATGTTTCTTTCGGGGTATATTAAACCCATTTTTACTTAATTTAAATCGCAAATATATAATAATCAATAGGTTTACAGAATTATTTTCAGATGGTTCTATTTTAGTTTAGAAACAAATTCGTTGACAATATATTTTGTAGTTTAAAATTTTGAACACAGAAGTACCACATATTAAAAGTATCCTCACGTCCTGCAATAATAAATTTATTTAACATTTATTTAACATGATAAAACGTAGTACTTAGCATACGCTTCTTCGTGAATTGCATTATAAAAACATCTAATTACTAATTATTTCCTCATTGAAATTTTTTGCATCGATGTACCTGTCTTTAATTGTTTTTACAAACATTTGTTATGCGACAACAAACTCCTAAAAATAACTTTCAAACTTGAAGTCTTACCTCAAAACTTCAACAGTATCTTCTCACTTGACCAGTTTGTTGGCCCATCTAGTATTATTTCTTTTTATGGTTCTGTACCTCAAAAAGAAAACTAACACCTCTAAGACCACGTCGTTATTTATCTATCTACCGAAGGACGTCAAGAACACGAAGTCCTGTTAAAATGATTATAAATACAAAGTCTTTAGAAACTCACGCGCTAAATAACTTGCTATTGAATATTAGGCCGTATATACGTAGTGGTAAAATAACACTTACTCAATGTTCTGATAGCATTGGCGAACTGTCCAGACTTGCTCTGTTCTAGTTCAAGAAGCAGTATTTGCAGTTCACTGTCTACGGAAGGCTCGGAGCTGTCTCTGCACCGCAGCCAGGCCAACGCATCACGAGCTTCCTGTACAGCGAGGAAAGTAACTGTGATAATTGAGTATAACAAGTATAGAAAGTGGACTGCTAAAGATCTTTTCAATACTGTAGAGAAATTATATTTTTTATTTAAATTCAGAGTCCTAACAATAACATTGTACTTCTTTATTTTACAGTAAAGATGATACAATGTTTATTATAAAGCAGTATTATGCGGGTAATACAATATGTGCCTTTATAGCACTGTAGTAATCTCATACAGGCAATCATGAGATAGAGAAAAACATTATAACGCCGCCATGCACCGCTGTACATGCAGTATATTATTATTACCTTTGAAAACTAATTACCTACCTGTTTAAGTTGACACTTCGACTTTAATGTAAATACATTCAAAACATTCGTAATGTAGAAGAGAGATAATAAGAACAAATATTTATTTATTTACTTCAGTTAGGAAAACTAACAACAACAGAAATGAAAATCGTCAGATTGATATACGTATATATATAACAGAAAGAATCCCCTAAAAATGTACATTTTTAGTGGATTCTTTCTGTTTTTAAAACGTTTTTCTTATCTTTTCCAGTTCTAACAGATTGAGACATTGAATTGAATAAAAAATGAGTAAAATCTATAGCGTAACTATACCTTTTATAGTAAAACATTTTTATTTCTTACCTCCACCTTACCGCACTTCAACAAGTATGAAGGCGTTTCAGGCATCGTAGTGAAGAGAATCAGGTGCAGAATTGGTACAGTCAAACACACCCACAACATGGCATGGTAACTCAGGTACTCGCCCAATATATATGCCATCAAGTTGCCCAGATTCTGCGATAGCACTACCAAGCTGCCTAGGGTTCCTCTAATGGAATCTTCGCTAATTTCTTTGATGTATAAAGGAGTGACTACGTATGAACCACTGACACCGACCCCGACGATCGCTCGAGCTGTTATTAGTGCCCATGTTTCGGTTGAGTACAGCTTCAGGCTCCAGCATAACTGCAAATATTTTTTTTGGACTTATTTACATTTTTAATGAAAGAATTCATGAGTTTAAGGGCTCTTACTTGTAAAGCTACAGAAGGTCAATTCTCGTTATAAAAGTTCAGTCTACATTCAGTTCCGATCAACTCTCGATCTCGCAACTGTCTTAAAAGGTATTTTTGTAGTAAAATAGTACGCTATTACTAAGACTAGTAGATTACCGATTCAATTTTCGGTTACAATACGATATAATCACATTACAGACAACGTTGGTTGTTCAATACTTACTTAGTTGATCGGAAATGAAATGTGACCGAACTTTTATTACGAGAATTGGCCTCACTCACGAGCTATGACTCGACCCGATCAGTTAGGCCAATTCTCTATTGCCATAGAGCCATAGCTTATATTCTCCATCTATATTATCAATATCCCTTTCCTACTATCTTCTTCTTACTTGCTTTTCTCTTTCAATATTTTCCAGTATCCCATCTTAAATTTATAAACCTCACTGTGTTTGGCCTATTACGAGCGTGTGGGTAAATTATAGTTGGCAAAATTTAGGTGTTCAAAACGACTGACTTTTGAATACAGATTTAAGTTTAAATACTAGTATTTTTCTACTTGATTGATTGTTATATTTATTTACCATATTGACCCTGAAGCTCAACACAATAAGGAACTTCTCGCAAAAAAATTGTAGCGTATTTATTTATAACTATGTTATTGTTATTCGAATTCCCTTATTATAGATAGGAACAAACTAAATACACACAGAATAAAGTTGTTCAAAAAGATTTGGCGCTTTATTTGAATTTAAATTCCCTATTGAATTTAAATTTATATCTGGGCAATAGGTAGGACTACATGGTCACTTGACTGCATGTTCTAGAAGCAGCTGTTATGTCATGTTACAATATTTACTTTTACCTTCTTGAAAAGTGTTACTTTTCAAAAGAGTTTCATAATACATACGCTGCCTAGTTGGGGATCAGACAGCAATGCGTGAGATGACTTAAGGTTTAGTAATCACTCAAATTCCATAATAATTTAATAAACAAGCATATTTCATAACGATTCAGAGCCCAGAGTTGTAGTTGAGTGGTTCAGGCCCGAAGAAGACTATCTGAAATCTACTTCAAGTACAGCCATTTCGCTTTTTTGAAAAAGTTATAAGAAATGTGTAGGAAATTTCTATGTCTCTTGCATAAAAAAGACAAGCCGTTCTTAAAATGCTAGCGTACGTAAGTAACCTTAAACCCGTTGCGTTGACTCTTTCTATGTTAACAAAATTAACAGTGAATGATTGATTTCCTAGCCCGTTCTTCGACTGGGAGCGATAACGAGAACCGGTGTTAACGGTAAACTGAAATATTTACTTGTCTACAACATTGTTTACAAGTGTTGTGCCCTACATGTCGTACCCATTACGAGATGTGCACGCTCTTTGGATTTAGAAGTAGACTTACAATCATTAACCTCCATTTATTTAGTATTCTCGTTTGCTACCGGCAGCACATATTAATATTATCTATACTAATATTAAAAAGCTGAAGAGTTTGTTTGTTTGGTTGGTTGATCCCGCTTGACTACTTAGTTGAAAAATTTATTTGAGACTTGAATAGCCCATTTATCGAGGAAGGCTATATAATACCATGACCAATAGGAATCGAGTATCAATGAAAAATTATCGATGAAAAAAAAGGTTAAACTTATTTCTTGAGTGCAGAGTGCACATTGTGTTCCTCTCTAACAGTGCGTTTAAGACACAATCTCTTACCCGTTAGGCTGTCAAAACATATTGATAAAATACCAGACTTAGCAAACCCATGTGCCCCCTTGCTTCTTTACTAGCAGACGCCGCGAAAAGAACAGCGAGGGGGTGGATGAATAGAAGAGTCGCACGGTAAAATAGAGCAGTCTGATTTTAGACCACCTTTAAAGAGACTTGGCGGGAAAAGCACCTTCTTCCCTAAAGGCTTATAGTTCGATTGTTCAGGGTGGACTAGGATGTTTTTAAAAATCCCAGATCCCATCAGAACAGGTTTAGAGAAACCTTTAAGACAAATGAAGAACCAAAAACTTAACTTTAGATTCCTTTTTAATTGATTTGTGTTATTTGTTGCTGAAACTTATGATAGACTCAACGGATTGCGACGAAATCAAAACTAATTCAATTATCAGCATTCTCCGTAGATTTACGAAGATTATCCCGAATGATCTCAAAAACGACCAAACGAGACTCAAAAGAACCGGTTTCTTTTTTTTTGTAAATCTTTTATAAAAAAAAGTTGTTTTGGCTTTGATGACTTGCCAACAATTATATTACTTAAAGTTGAATAAAACAAGCGAATGAATAAACATCTGCAGACCAGGTCTATTCCCTAATGACCAGGTTACACAGGCCGTAGTCACAAGATGTGTACTTAGGTACTTAAACCGTAAATGTAATCATATAACATGGGACGCGATAGTTTATCTAAAAGTTATTAAAATAAGACTGTTATATTGAAATTACAGAAATACATTTGAAGTTCATTTATTTGTATTTTTGAACGATGACGTTCAACCAAAAAAATATGTATGTACATTTATTCACGCTTCTTATACCCGAAGGTGAGGTCTAAGGCGTATAAAAACAAGCGAATGAATATACATTTGTAGACCAGGTCTATTGCCTAATGACCAGGTTACACAGGCCGTAGTCACAAGATGTGTACTTAGGTACTTAAACCGTTAATGTATTCATGTAACATGGGACGCGATAGTTTATCTAAAAGTTATTAAAACGAGACTGTTATGTTGAAATTAAAGAAAGCCATTTAAAGTTTATTTATTTATATTTTAGACTCCTGCCTATTCTACGGTCAAAACCATACCCATTTCACGATAGCTAATCGCAGCTTAATCAAACAGAGACAGAGGGAAATATCGGGCATCCATGTCTCTCGGTGCCTGTATCGCTTTCACTTACAGACAGCTGTCCCCCGCGTTCTCTCTATGCTTATATCTCTATGGTAGTCACAAATTAGAAAAATAGTATAAGAATTAAGTTACACTAACTTTTGCCCGTAGTTTTGCTAACGTAATTATTTCTTATTTCATGTTTCTAACTTCGAAAATGACGAACTTCCATACAAGTAAAATCCACGTTCCATAAATCCCTTAGGGATGAAATTTACAAAAAGTCTTAGAGCATAATAAGCGGCCAAATTTCAAGTGCACAGCATTAGCCGTTTAGGTTCTGCGTTGATGAATCAGTCAGTCAGGGCAAGAGTTTATCTGCATAGATATAATATATTTTTATATTTCGGTAGTCAGAGACACAACGCCATCTAGTTTCAAAATAAATGTTAAGTTAAATTAAAAATAATAATATATGATAGCAAACAAAACGTTTAAAAGTACTATTTTTTTCTTTTTGATACGTATTGACGTATTAAAACGTAAAAATTAATTCTTTATTTGAATGATAATTTTCGTTTGTAATTTTTGGCATTTATAAAACAGTATTAAAAGTTTTATTTTATGCTTCATTGTCAAAAATAAGTAAAATAATCAACCTTGAATGCTAATTAGTCCTGAGTTCCTGACTACCGACTGCCGTTCAACATATGGCGCATATTATATATTATAAAGCCCATACATACCAACTAGTGACCTGCTGGATATCCGTATCAGTTAGGTGTTAGCGGATCTTAAGCGAATCTCTTGCGTAATTAAAATTGTAGATTTATTTTTCTCAAATTAAATATATAAATATATAATATACTAGCTACAAATATTATAACAGTTGTAAAATACTACTTGAACATCATTGTAACGAGATCAAATCCTAATATCTGAGAAATGTGTTTTAAAGTTTTTTTTAAGACAAGTAATGCAACGTTATTGGTGGAAATAGGCGTAAATCATCCGTATTCAAATCCGTATATAGATAAGTTTCGATCTGGCACATCAAGAATACATACACTTAGACCGCTATCCCCACGGGGCGGGTAGACGTTTATTATGAGAACTGGGGCCCTTGGTAAAATAAGATATAAAAGTATTAATAGTTAATTAAGTCTATAAAATTTAATAACGTAACATATTGATCGACTAGAGTTAATTAAGACTTGTTCTTTTTTTGTGAAACTAATAATAACTTTTTATTTAATTTAAGTAGAACCTGCGGTTTTGATAGCTGAACCATAAAAATATTTAATGTTTCACTTTAGGAAACGTTTTTAACTTTAAGAGTAGGTACTTAAAGTACATCAAGCCAGCCCTCTGATTTAGTTGTTAGTGACTCTAACAAAAAAGTAGAGTAAGTAAAAGTCTAAAAGTAGTACTATTATTCATTCTGGGTGTAATTTATATATATTTATTTATTTTATTTATTGTGTCTTCCTACAAACATATTGCATATGGCGGACTTAATGCCTCAGGCATTTTCTTCCAGTCAAACATTTGGGTATTGCAAAGCTGTGTGTGACAGAAAAGAAAAATATTCTACAGATATATAAGTACCTCAACCTACATATATTTTATACATATAAATATCAAAATATACATAATACGAAGATAATAAATATACTCTTAAGGTGTTATTCTGATGACTCCGACAACAAGTCTCTTTAGAGCTTCCGTACTTTAAGCTTAAAAGTGTATTGGTTAGTGGACATATATGTATGTATTTAGTAATACTCGTAAATTATGTTTTGTAACCGCAGTTTTGTTACTGCAGTGCCTGTTAGCCTAGTTTGGAATCCTGGGTGAGGTGTCTAAAGTTATTATTTTAGGTTACTATCAAATTACTTGTAATTTGTAAGTTACTTAGCCACAGATTTAAATGTTTCTTCGACATTATCAGCTGATTTCGTCGTTTACTTACAGCCATAGCGAAAGAAGTCAACATCAGAGCCTTCTTCCGTCCAAAATTATCAACAACATAGCCAAACAGGAATACGGTAGGTGTTCCAACTAGGTAGGCGACGGAGGCCATCCAGGAGATCGTGTCTTCGTGCACTGGCTCTGCGGCCGGTGAGTCCTCAGACATCAGCTTCTGACCCATGGGCGAGATCCAACCGATTGCTGTGCCATACGAGAAGACTGGGAGCACCACTGGAAAAATAATACATTAATTGAATTTTGACTGTGATCCCTTAGGGAAGTGTTCTAAACTTTTTTTATGATATAGGGGGCAAACCAGGACACGAGTCACCTAATGGTGAATCACACACAAGTTACTGTATTGCACTCCAGTATACATATGAGTATTATTAAAGAAAGGTTAAACATAAAAAGGGAATATGAAAATGAATTTTGGGGCTCGTACTTCGACTTCGGACATCATTTTCAAGGTCTGGTCCCTAAGGTGGCTGGAGCAGCGCGTGCACTGGCGCGGCTGTTGCCTAACATGAGGGGACCCGATGACTCCTGCAGGAGACTACTCAGGGGTTGTGCGGTCCATAGCCCTTTATGGACGGGAGCCCTGAGGGCCAGCAACGACCGCAGCGAGTGCTGGCGATCAGGGTCATAAGGGGGTACCGCACGATCTCCTTTGAGGCGGCGAGTCTCCTGGCCGGAACTCCACCGTGGGACCTGGATGCGAGAGCCCTTGCGGCTTTGTATTGGTGACGCAAGGAGGCGCGGGAGTTAAGTCTGAGTCCTGAGACTCGAGAAATCTAGGATCAGAAATCCCAGCTCCGCCAGGTCCTCGTAGAGGAGTGGAAAAAAAGACTCTCATACCGGCTGACGCAGGTGATCACCGGGAAAGGTTGTTTCGGAGATCACCTTTGTCTCATCCGAAAGGAGCCAACGCCTGAGTGACACCACTGCGATGGCCGGACCGTGGACACGCTTCAAATATGGCTTCAAATATGCTTTCCAGCTATTTTTCACATTAGTTTTGTTAATGATTTCTCATAAATGCAACCTTAATATGCCACAGCGAAGCGTGGTAAGCAGCGTGGCAGCTAGTTTGCAATAAAAATTATATCATTGTAATAAACCTAGACAGGAAAATACATTATTCATTTTTGGTAATATAAATTCTCATGAAAAAAATCTCATTCAGAGATTTTATTTAAATTACAATTATTTAAAACTATTCAATGAACTATGTTAGCCTTTTATTAGAAAAGTTCACACGTTTTTTTGCTAAACTCGTTTCTATGACGTTTTAGTAAGATGATAACTCTTAAATTTTTAACCTTATATGTGGTATAACATGAAATTATACTGAAAAGAAATCATATAAGAAATTAAAAGTAAAAGCATTGATTATAATAAAATAATAGAAATTTTATAACCTATATATTATTAGACTGCACGGATGGCGTAGTGGTTTTTGTGTGATCTACAAATTGTTGTTCCGAGTCTTTGTTTTGTTGACGGGGTGGAATTCATTTATACTGAATTCATTTCCAAAAATAAACACCCTCACCATAAAATAAAATCTTTGGTGGTTTAATTACTAATTTAACATAACATTTCGCAGCGTGAACACAAGGCTGTCTTTAAAACTTTAGCTGTGAAAATGAGCGTTCTCCACTACAATTGGAACGCATAAAGCAAAAAACATTCTAGTAGCAATTTCAATATTTGGGCAAAGTTTCTTCCAATTTATCAGGCTCTATTTATTAGTTTATGTAAGTTTGAGTTACTTAAATCCGCCGATTCCTTTGCTATCTTCTTTAAGTACTGCCTAAAAATATTCTGCTTTGAGCTCATATGCATTAAGGTCTTCGTGATAGAATTCTTCAAATACATTTCGTCTTTTAATCAACTTGTCTGAATCGATTGTTGTTAACGGAGTAATAACACTAAAACTATTGTCAATTTCTTCAAATGCTGCTAAACAATCTTTCAAATGCGCATATAATTTATCGATAAACGTACTTATCTACACGAAATTTTTCTTTACCATGCAATTGTACAGTCTCTCATGATCTTTCCAAAGAAAGTGACGCATGTGCTGCGATTTCTTTTTTCTTTGAGACTTACTACTTTGTTTTTGACTAAACACTTATTTTCTATTTTACCAACTTTATTACTAGTTTATATCCACTTCTCAGGTGTTTTTAGGTTGGAAGCTACCTTCTTTAGGTCGTAATTATTATATATATAAAGTTACCGAAAATGAAATAAAATCGAGACCATAAGGCGATTTTACAGCATAATAAAGTTTAAATGGAAGCGAAACGCGGAACTATACCACACCCATTTTCTATCTGGCAAGTTCGGCAACGCCACATTTTCTATGTTCGACTGCACGGATGGCGTAGTGGTTTAAGCGGTCGCTACGCCGCTTCCTACGCTGAGTGCTGTGGGTTCGATCCCTACATAGGACGACATTTTGTGAGATCCACAAATTGTTGTTCTGAGTCTGGTTGTTCTTTGTGTCCGTTTCATGTATGTTTGTAAAGTCATTAAGGAATGTAAAGGAAATATTCCTAGAGCGGCAGTTGTCTTTGAAAAAAAGGGTTTCCTAGTCTCTAACAACTCCCCAATTTACTCTATAATTTTTGTCGGATTATATCGATCTAAAATAGAAAATTTAAAATTGTAAAGTGTAAGCAAATTGTAAATATATCGCTTTTCGGGTGCCCTGTGACGATGGGGCCCTGGGCACGGGCCTCGTGTGTCCTTATGGTAACGACGGTACTGCGTGAACCTAAAAATTGACCCATAACTAATATTTAAGATGTGATGTGATATATACTGGAGTAAACACAAAAATAGTTTCATCACTGAAGAATGTGAGGACATTAAAACAAAACACTCGTGTTGAGATCGATGATAAAAAGCCATTACAATAAAAATTGTCTTAAAATACCGTGATGGAATGTATTTTGCCAAAATTTTCACGCGTCATATTTAATAGTCAAAATCTATCTCCCAAAGGCTAAGCTTTGTGAGCATACATAGACAAAAAATTAAGATTACGAATAAGAAACTATTAGCTGGACCATGCAGTAATATATTAACGGCCGGATGGCGTAGCGCTTAGTGTAACGGACTGCTATGTCAAATCCCGGGTTCGATTCCTGATCTAATCAAACATTTGTGTGCATGAACATTAAATGATCAATTTGGTCTGGGTGTTTCTATGTGTAATATGTATGTTTTTATATCAGTTGTCTAGTACCATAATACATGCTCCGCTTAGTTCGGAATAGATGGCGTGGTGTGAAAGTGGTAGAACATTAGTCTTATCATATGGTTTAGTCAAGCCTATGGTTGGCTCTAAAACATGGCCCACAAATTCTGATAACTTTACATTTGCGTATGCAGTGATTTACTTAAAATTTACAATTGGCATCAGTTTGTTTAACAACGAACCGAGTAATTATCTGGCATTACATCTGATCAATAATTAATTAACTGGTATCGATGTCTTCCACATGTATCATTTGTAAAGAGGTGAACACGTGAAGCCACTTGACTCCGTGCCAGAGGACCTACAACCCTGGATAATACTTAATGTTAAATATTCTGACATTGTTTTTAAATGCCAGTAGATATAAGGAGTCTACGCTCAGTTCATTGGGGCATAATTTGTATTCATTTCAAAAACAGATTAACTTAAAGCTAATTATATTCATGCAAGAGCTCTTCTGTTCAAGTTGATTCTTGTATCGATGTAAAGTACCCTGTTTTGGTGTTTGTACTTCTAATTTTGGTATTAATAGTCTTAGCTTAACATCAGATAAAGTTCTGCTCACTCAGTGCATTGCTGTTCGGTTACTTTATTAGATATTGAGTTTTAGTATTTATTATAATTTATCAAGTAATTTGAAAGATTTAAATCATGGCACTTAGGAGTGAAGCAAATTCGTCAATCGTCTAAAGAAGTAACATGGATGAAAAACCAAGTATCTGAAAATCAATCTGAAGATTGCCTTCACAAAATTCTACTCGCCCAAATTCCAACTAATTAGTGTTGTAAACTTGAAAAAAAAGAGAAGAAATATAAGAGCTAAAGGTAAAATTTCTATGTCATTGAGATATCTGAGATAAAAAATAAAAACTTTTGTTAACCGACGAACAGAGTATGAAGGTGTGCTTTTTTTCATTATCATGCTTAACTTCTTCAGAGCACTTTTATTATTGGAAAGTATATATCTCTAAATCATTTTAATGTAGATAATAGGGCATTATTAGTTTTTCAGTGGGATATTGGAACGACGTAATTCGGACTTGCCACAAATTACACTTAGATTGACAAGCTCAGAAGCTAAAGACGCAATACCAGTATTTAAACAACAATTTTTCGCAATTAGGTTTGAGTTAGCGTCAAACAACTAAAAGTGTATGTGTTTAGTGACTTGCAAAAGGGATACAAAGTATGCTGGTTTATTAATTGTACAAGATCAATTGAAGGGGGTCGCTGATTCGTTCGAGATGACGTTGAATCATTCCAGAACGATTCGCCGTCGGGCAGTCTGAAGTATCTAGATTGCCATTAATTTGCCCAGCTACAAACAAATGAATGAACTTTATTATTTTGTTTTGAATCAGAAATTAGGTTATGTTATTCGAGACTTGATTAGTTACGTAAATAAATAGGAGATAGATACTTGACACAGATGCATATAATTCTTTTGTATTCAATTAAAAGGAGTGCTGAAAATTTCGTTTGAAATACAGAGCCAAGATAACAATATGTTATTTCTTCTCATATAAAGTTATGAAGTACTTTAACGTCTGTAGTTGTGTTATCTTATACTGCACATGTTGCGAGCTTTAAATCCGATTTGTCAAGTCAAAACAAGACAACTCTATTTTTTTAAAGTTTATTTATTATTCTATAAGAAAACTAGCTTCCGCACGCAGTTTCGTCCGCAACTTTTTTAACATTAAAAAGTGTATTACGTCAATTTACTGTATTTTACATTACTTTAATGTATCTTTGTTGGTTTACAGGGCGTACGCGAGTAAATGTCCTAGTAGGCAAGTTTTTTTGCGACCATCGTTATATTTCAGTCCATTTTACATAATAACGTAATGAATTATACACCCAAAACTTCCTCAGAAATTACACTATCTATTCGTGAAAACTGTACAAAAATCCGTTCTGTAGTTTTTCAGTTAATCGCGTCAGACAGTCGTGGCCCGGG